AGAGAGAATACTACGTACTACCACGACGTACGTAACGAAGAAAATAATAATATATATATATATATATATATATATATATATATATATATATATATATATACTTGGTGGGGCGGAGTGCGGACTGACGGCTGTGGCCACAGGCCAGCCACAGTCCCGCAGACCCCCAGGCTAACCTTAATAAGTGAGACGTGCTCGAGGTAAACGTTGAATTTTTAACGGTAGCTTTTTGTTTTTTTTAAATAAAAGTTATAACCTTTATTTGGGACAAATCAATTATCAATTTTTTCAAATGTGCACTCGATAAGGATAATAGCCAATCAGAATCTACAACTAATTGACTTGACATTTGGCAATACCCACATTTTGAGTGTATCACTTTGTTAACCTTTGTCTCCTCGAAGTACCTGGTCCGTATTGTCAATGATGCGCACAACAAACAACTATAAAGTATCTAAGACATTTCTCCAAGTATATGCTACATATTCACGTACACTTTGCACATATTACCAGCTCTAAAGGCGTTGAGCCGCTCAGAGAAGCTTCTGAACGCGCACATAACAAAATCAATGTTATTTATAAGTTGTGGGCTATTTAAGAAAGTGGCGGGGGTATTGATATGTGCGCACTAAAAACAAACAAGACAAATATCTGACACCATCTTGACCTGTAAAATGCACCTATAATATATCAGACTGTACCCATCAACTATAAACGTTAACTTTTTATGGAAAGTTATAACGTTTAACCTATTGAGGTTAGCCCACAGGCCACAGCCCAAGAAGGGTAAACAACAGACACTATTTACGTTTTGAGTACAACCTCTAGAGAATTTCGATGTTGTCGTAAACTGTGCGGGTACCAACGGGGTTCGCTTGATTCTTCGATTTATAATCAATTTTAAAATAAAACACACTTTTTTACGTCGTTTATTCTTGTGTTCATTTCTGTATTATTTATTATTTTGTTTGTTTCAGTTTTTTATGAAAAACCCAAAAACAAAACAAAATAGACATTCCAGAAACCATTTTTGTTTGGATCTGTAGACTGTAGTACATAGACCAATTTTAATAGCTGTCATGCTACGATAAAGGGAATTCTGTCCAACTAAAAGCACGAAACCGCCCATCTTTTGGCAAAATATAGCTGGCGCTTTTAGAGTGTTCTGTTTTAGGGTGGGCACTGGGCAGTGGACACTGGACAGTAATAACGTTTGAAATGTAGTACGTTTTACGTTAACGCATCGATTTGAAAGCGTGTTTACGACTTTACGTAAAATACGAATAGAAGTCTGTCTACGTTAACTTAGTACGCAGATCGTAGGGCTCTAGTTCATGAATCATGACTGTCATGTTCATCTGAACTAATACCAGCTCAATCGATGAATTTGCTCTGGAATGATTTATGTGGTGATCTCACTGATTAGAGTGATTGGACATATCCTTCTAAAAATTGAAACAGATTTGACTGATGAGTCGTGACTCAGTGGTTCGTGCGTGCATAGGGAAGAACAGTTTTTTGGTTTTTTTTAAATAGTTTGGCGTTTAGAGATTCAGAGTTGCAGACATCAGAGAGTGCACTGTGCAGTGGCAGTTCACTGTGCAGTATTTTCTATTTACATGCAAATGTAGTCAGTTGCTGACTTGCAATTGCTGGCCTCCACTCCAGTCATGAGTTGCGCCATTATAAATCTATAAACAAATGAGGACAACTATAGCCTCCCAAATAGAACAGGAAGCTACAGAAAAACTAAAAAGATTTATTCCAATAGGGCAATTACCAATGCAATTATCCAATCAGACTCTGTCAAAGCAGGTCCGTCCAAAACCCCCACCAAAGACCGGAACCCCCCCCCCCCCCCCACCTCCCCAAAGAGCAAGCTAATGCAACTCTTCTCTACTAGAGGAGCTAAACTGCCCTAAGTGTGGCTGCCAAAGCCGTACACGGCAGACCTTCGCGGACAAACAATGGCACACTATTCCTAATCGCAATAACCAGCCCCAATCTGAACTCACAACTTATTAAAAGCGATGGAAAGCCATAGTTCCGCTACTTTTACAGATAGCCACCCTAATGCCTGTCACAGCACATAGACAACAAAGCCGTCCATTGATTTGGCATGGTAACACCCCGATCACTTAACACCCCGATCACTGCTGGAATGGAAGTGGCTGCTAAGACGCATCACTAAAGTAGATGAATTTTGATTTTCGCATACATAGTTAAATTCATATGTATGCCACCTTTAGCCCCTCGTATTACTATTTTAATATTTACTATCTCTGTGTGATAGTACTATCAAGTTCTCGAGTCCATTCGTTTATGCAATAAATTTTAACATCCCAAATAGTTTATGCAATAAATTTTAACAAAACAAAGGATGTGGGAGTGTGGGCTTGTGGGGTGGGTGTAATAAAACGGCCGCTCTCTATTTAGAGCTCTCTCATCTATCTATCTATCTATCCATCCATATCTCTTTCTCTCTCTCTCTCTCTCTCATGGAGAGCTCTACTACTACTATAGTCACTCGCAATATAACGGCCGCTCTCTACTTAGAGCTCTCTCATGTATCTATCTATGTATCTCTCTCGCTCTCCCGCTCGCTCTCTCTAATGCAGAGCTCTACTTCTACTATAATCTCTCTCTCTAGAGTAGAGACTAGAGTCTAGATTCAGAGAGAGATGAGACTGGAGACTGGAGACTGGAGACTGTAGAGGATAAATAGAGTAGAGCCATAACAAGTAGCGGACCTGTGAGTGGCTGTGACCTGTCCGCTGTCAGCTACATTTTTTCCAACTAAATGTGTATAGGAATCGCCTCATCTTTTATCACTGCTCGAAATTAGCATTCTTGACATGGTCTTCTATTCTTTTAAAAATGAAACCTTTTGAAACGCTGTATTTTATTTCTACGGTACACGATGAAAAATAATGGAAATTTGGCGCTGAGTACTCAATACGAAGTATCGAGATGCTACACATCACAATTCACATAGTGCATCTGGGCACCAATGCTTCAAAACTGCACGCACCAGCGTACAAAAACAAGATATGCCACTAGGACAGCTTCTATATTTTTGAAAATACCAAGCATAGTTGCAGACAATCAACTGGCTCGACCATGTTTATTCCTTAGTGACCTCGTGTATAGCCTGTTGCGTGTGGATAACGATTTTTGAGATGTCAATATACCACAAATGCACAGATACTCCAGTTATAAGCTATGCTAATTTAAAGTGAACTACAAGAATGAATGAGGTCACAAGTTCAATACTTATCGTTCACTACTATCCGATCCAAGTGCAAATGAAAGTACAGCCCGCAGAAAGGGGGATATTCGCATTTCAAAAATCAATTAACCTCACCTTTGCGATGTAGGTCACATTGCTCGTGGTGACTCCCGCCATACTGATACGCCCGTCCATGGTCAAATAAACTAGAGTTTATCAGGAACATGCAGCCATGAATATATAGGGACAAACAAGCTACGTGCCGCTTTTGCATTGCCGGAATTTGCGCGAATATATCGCGATTTGAGGTGGTATGATACAGAGCTCGTATATGAATGCACAAGTTTCCAACATCGAACTAGTTCCCTGCGTAGATAGCTAATTTCAGCATCATAACAGATCATTTCAACTATAGTTAGAACACAATGGTACTAGATGAACGATAGTATAGTAGTATTAAGGGATGTGGAAGCAAAGGCTGCAACCGACCTATATACGTATCTAATCAGATTCCGATATGCAGACTGCCCAGCGATGCCTAATAAACTATGCGAACCCAGAATAATACTATGACATGTACATACCTGGGTGCTCATCGCAGAGTCTTTTGCTCCACCGCCGAGAAAGATACTATGAATTGAACTTACCCGAGTGCTCGTCGCGCAATCTTTTACACTGTTCAGTACTGAGACCGCTGAAGCAGAACATCCCAATTTGCTTGTTGATATGACCCCAAGGAAGAATGGATCCCGCCTAACCAACAGTGAAGTGTGAAATCCATTAAAGTAATGTAGTCGGGCCGACTTCTATGCTGTAACTTCATCTATTCACTTTGTCTAGTATCGCTCCCTCGTTGTGGGCATGACTGAGCTCGCAACAGAGACATGCTTGTCGTCTATAGTGTCAGTTACAGCAATCATGACACGTTGACTCCTACTCCTAGAGCGATATAGTCTATATGGATATCTTGATGCAAAATTATGTCGCTTAAGTTGCGTGACACCTGACAGTATAGATATTCTGGAAAACTAAGAACGCCAATAAATTCTAAAATGGCCTTCATAACGAGCAGCTGCTAAGCCAAGGCCAAGAGATGTACAGCGAAGTGTATGGTTTAGCCACAAGCTAGCCCAGATTGTTTCGGTGTCTAAATAGCGACAACTCGGCGCATGAAAGTTGACTCCTTACCTCATCGAGTTTCTGCGTCAACAAGGCCCGAGCGCCTATAATCCGATCGGCCATCGCTTTTACCTCCTCTAACCACAAAGATCTGCGCGAAGTGATAGTCGGGATTATAGGCTACAGGACTCAAGGTGAATATAGCAGCTAGGACTTTGAAACATCCTTGATCACTTACCAGAGTATCAATACACATATACATATTCGGACAACTGCTGGTGCAAAAAAGATAGTACTCGGATGTACTTGTACCTGAGCGTTTAAGTAAATCCTCAAATTAATAAAGCGCATTCTGCTGCTGACGACGGGAACGTGCTTGCAGCATATGATAGCTGTGCGGTTTTAGACCTAGGAGTCGGCGTGGGCAAAGAATGGACCACACAGAAAACTAAGATGTCACGCGTATCAACACAGTTCCATATAAACCTGAGAGAAGGAGACAAAGCATGACTCACTTTAGACTGGTGTCTGTTAGAATCATAGTCGCCAATCGTGCCCCGTGTATCGGCGGACTGCTGTACGTGGGTCGTATAATTGTCTTCAGTTGAGACGCTACATTAAAAGCGTGTTGCTTCTCACTAGTGGTCACTGTCAGCGCACCTACTCTTTCGCCTGCCATGTTACGTGTTTCAGTTCAGGTATTCGGATTAAAACAATGTATATAATTTACTTCAAGCGGAAGGCTTAAGTCGAAAAACTGCGATCGGGCAACCATCAAGAGGATGACACATAAATATAAGACACTTCTAAACTCTAGCGGCATGTGCACACAACAAGTTCTTCAAAACCGCCACACTTAGTGGTCTGTATGTGTATACAATTGCATGCAATTTCTAGAATGCTTGCTAGCGGTTGGTGCGCAATGCCGCGCTCGAGGTACCCACCATATAAGCCCATATTTTTCGCATAAGACTGACACAAGGCAATGTTGTGGCCGTCTTCGATGAACGAACGCACAGAGTATGCATCGTTGTCCACATCTCCACTCGCGAAGCCTTGGTACGCCTACGAAAAATGCAATGCGACAGGCATAAACCCCGTGCATTCAAGCAGATATCCCTATCCTTTCACGTTGTACGTATTACTCCTTC